GAAGCAGAGACAGAGAGGCGCGCCGTGCCCCAGTGCCCGCCTCCTGCAAGCTGCCCTGAGCCCGGCAAAGTCCCCGCCGGGCCGCTCGCAGGTTCAGGGTCTCTCCTGCAGCACCCCCTGCTGCTGGTCCTGGCTCTGCAGAGCCCTAAACAATGAGCGGCGGGAGCCTGAGAACTTGTGGCAATTCTCCTGCCTCAGCCTCCCCAGGCTGGGAGGAGGGGTGGGATCCGTTACCTTGGGAAATGTTGACTGAGAAAGGGGTCAGGTCTTAGATCTGTTCCTTCTTACTATCCCCTGCGATCCCAGACCCAGGTGAGCTGGCTCCGGTGTGTGATCCCACCACTCTCGGAGGATGAGGCAGGAGGATTCTCCCCGCAAGCCAGCCAATGACTTAGCTCTGTAGGGAGCCCCTTCTCAGAATGAAAAAGTGCAAACAAAAATGGCTGTGGATGTGACGACGTGGGAAGGGCCTGGGTTTAATCCTACGGGAAAGGAGAGGAAAAGAAAAGGTGGACAAATTTTCAGGGACGCCCCCCCCCCCAATCCTAGAACTCCAGCAGGGCAACTGGGTGCTGCAAGGAATTTAAGGCCAAGTGGAAGGAAGAGACCTTCCCAGCTCGGGGAGGCTCCTGTGTCACAGGTTTGTGTGTCGTGCTTCAATCAGAAGCCCTGAAGAGTGGAGGTGCTAAGTTACCTTGGGGACAGAAACGCCCCCCCAGGGACACCACAGGCCCCCAAGCTCAGCAGCCCCAGCTGGCCTGCACCCCACCCCGTCTCAGGACATGTTGCCTGGTCCTCCTGCCTGACTTTATTACCCTTGCAAGACAGGGCACGGCGAGGGAGGCTGAGGCAGGAGGGTCGCCAGGAGTTCACCCCCCCCCCCGGGCTACATAGTGCGTTCCAGCCCAGCTTAAGTTACAGTGAGATCTCAAACAAAGAAAGAGAAAGGAAGTCTTTCTCAGCTTCCTGCTCGACCTGTCCCTGAGCTGCTGTGACCTAGGTGTGGGCTGGTGAGGGTCTGTGTGTCACCTCCAAATACACTTGTCACGTTCTGCCTGAAAGCTTGCTTGATGGGTCCCACTTTCCCATTTAATTTTAATGAGTTTTTTTTTTAATTTTTATTGGTACCGGCGATCGAACTCACAACCACCTGCTTGCAAGGCAGGCACTTATGCCGCTGAGCTAAATCCTCAGCCCCCGAGTTAATTTATTTTGAGAGAGAGTCTCACTACATAATTCAGGCCGGCCTTGAACTCACGGGGATCCTCCTGCCTCTGCCTCCTGAGTGCTGGGATGACAGGGGCACCACCACCCCTAGCTAAAAAGGTGATTTTAGGAACAAAGCCTTTAAAATGTTTTGACCTTTCCTTACTAAGCTGCTTCCGATGACCCCAGCACAACTGTCTAACCCTGTTTACACAGACACGAAGCACACAAACACAGACACACAGACACACGCCAGGAACAGCCTGCACAGGTCCTGAAAAGCTGCACGGGAACCGACACGGACACAGGCACACGCCCACGTGTGTGCACTCCTGCACGTGTCCACAGACACACATGACACACGTGTGCACACAGCTGAGGAGGCACAACCAGCGAGGTCAGAGGGACACACACGGCCGTTTCCCGGCCGGGCGGTTATGTGTGGGGAAAGAGGAAAGTATTCGGAGAAAGTTTCTGTTTCCCCAGCCAGCGATGGGGCGGAACCGGGCGGGACAGCAGAGCACTGCGCCCTCAGGAAACTCCTGCTGTTCCTTCCCAGCAGAGTTGGGCAACATTTAAGGTCATGCATCCCCTTTGCTGCCCTCAGCCCCGTGGTCTCCAGGCTCCGCCAATTTCCTGTAAATGACTCCAGCCATCCTTCTTTAGGGCAGAGTAGTACTCCACCCCTAGGAGGGTCAATGCCTCATTTCTTCATCCACTCCTCTGCCCAGGGACATACAGGCTGCTCCTGAGCTCAGTTACTGCAAACTGTGCTGCTGTACACATGAGCATACATGCACGGGTCACTGGGACACTGATGTCTGTAACCGAGAAGATTCTTAGACGCACAGCAACCCCAGGTCTAAATAATTAAAAAACAAAAACAAAGCAAAAAACACCACCCAGCTGGTGGGAAGCAGGGAAAGAAGGAACTGAGATGTGCTAAGTAATGATCTTCCCGAAAGTGAAAGTAACTGGGCTGAGGAAAATGCTGGGAGCGGGAAACCAGGAAAAACAAAAGCCAGCCGCGCTGGTGCACACGTCATCCCGGCCCTTGGGAGGCCAAGGCAGGAGGATCGCTGGGAGTTCCAGGTCAGCCGGGGCTACACAGTAAATTCTCTCAAGCACGACCGCTGCTGGGCTGTCCGGGAAGGGCGAAGCAGAGGAGGCCCGCTGGAGGCCGGCTGTGGACGGATAAGAGGGCCCTCGCTCGGGGCGGCTGCAGAGGACCTGGAGTTGCTCTGCTCCTAAGTATCTTCTCGGTGGGAGGCGGTCATTAAGGGCCGCGAGGAAAACGGAAAAAAACCCCAAGGGACCCGGTGCGGGAGGCCGAGGCAGCACAGTCTCTGGTGGGGCCCGCAGTGGCGAGGTGCAGGCGTCCTGGACCAGGCGCAGAGCGTGGGAAGGCGGCCTCCGCTGACGCCCCTGTGCCTGGGCGGCCCCCCGAGCCCCATCCGCCCCCAGGGGAAAGCAGGGAGGCTCCGATTCGCGATCCAGGCTCCAGGCCGGGCTGCCCGCCTCCACCTCCCCCGGCTGGGGAGCCTCCCCAGCCCTCCTGCGGCCAGTCCCTCGGCGGTGAGCCCCTGACAGGTAAGCTGAGGCAGGACAGTCCCCAGGGCCTGGCCAGGGCCCTGCGAGTAATAGTAACCCGCGGTAAGGAGGAGCCAGGAGGCCGCGGCTGCATCTTCGCGGTGATCGTGTCCTCCCTGGAACTATTCCAGAGCCTCCTGCGGGGCCCAGAGCGAGGGCGCAAGAGGCTGAGGCAGCGCCACCCAGCCCGTCTGTCTCCCGGCCGGAAAGCCAGACAGGGCCGCTCCATGTCGCCGAGGGTCTGAATCTGTCTGCTCTACAAGTCATTATTTGTTTGATTTTTTTGAGGCTGGGCCTCGTCCTGTAGCGAAGGTCGGCCTCGAACTTGCAGAGATCCTCCTGCCTCAGCCTCCCGAGTGCTGGGATCACAGGTGGGCCTTATCACGCGCGGCCCAGGGAGCACAGCGTGGTGTCTGCGTGTCCTAAGCCTTCCCGCACCCTCGGAACCCCGCTTTTCCAGGCCCCTCTTCCCCACCCAGGTCTCGGGTCCCCAATCCCTGCCAGGCTCCCTAAAACCCCAGCTCCCGCGCCCTTGGGGGTGAGCTGGTGGGGGGCGCTGCTCCCCAAAAACTGATCGTCGGCTGCCCCCTTGTGGCCATGGCGGGAACTGCGCTCGGCCCAAACGCTCCCTGCGGTGCCCTGCACGGTTCTGTTGGGAAAGTACCTGGCGCCTGCTAGGTGTTTGCTACAAGTGATTCCCGCCCTGCAGCCACGGAGCCAAAACAGGGCGCCTTTACTGCAAACGTTTTCTGAGGGAAATGGAGGAGGCCTTAAAAAAGATTCCTCCTTCCTGGCTGGCTTGCTAGGCAACATCCTACCACTGAATCACACCCCAGCCCCTTTTTAATCTTATCTTTTGTTCTGTGTGTGTGTGTGTGTGTGTGTGTGTGTGTGTGTGTGTGTGTGCGCGCGCGCGCGCGCGCGCGCGCGTGCACTTTTGGAGACAGGGTCTTGCTTTTAGTCCAGGCCAGCCTTGAATTTACAGTGATGCTCCTGCCTCAGCCTCCCAGGTACCAGGGTTACAGGTCTCTACTGCTGCACCCAGCTTTTTTTAAATTTTGAGACAGGCTGTCACCAAGTCTCCCAGGCTGGCATCAAACTTGCTGTTTTCCTGCCTCAGCTTCCCAAGATTACCGATGTGTGTCTCTGGGCTTGGTGTACGGCTGTCCTTTTTTTCTGAGTGAAAACAAGGGTACTTTGGGCATAAATCAGTGACTGTGAACTCTCAGCACTGGAGTGAGTTGATTTCAAAGAGTGCCGGGCGTGGTGGAGCACACTTGTAGTCCCAGCACTCAGGAAGCTGAGGCAGGAGGATCTTTGTGAGTTCAAGGCCAGCTTGGGCTACATAGTGAGCTACTATCAGAAAAAACAAAAACAAAAACTAGTCACCTTAACTGGGCTCGTTTTGTTGTCTGGGGACATACATCAATGTCCCAACAGGGCAGCTGTGAGGACACTGACCTCCCCTAGGTAGAAACCAAAGATCAAATATGCTTCTCAGCACCCCATAACGCCCAGAGCAGCCCCTGCCGAGAGAACGACCTTGCCCTGGATGGCAGTCGTGCTTAAATGGAGCCATCCTGGAGTTTTTGATTTTTCCAGAGCCGGGGATTGAACCCAGGGCTTTTGCAGTGAGCTGTGTTCCAGCCCCTTTTTTATTTTGTGACAGGATTTTGCTAAGTTGCCCAGGATAGGCTTGAACTAACTTTTTCTTTTTTTGAGAGAGTCTTGCTCTTATAGTTCAGGCTGGCCTCAGACTCACTGCGGAGCCCAGACTGATTGATCTTTTTTTTTTTTTTAATCGGTACCGGGGATCAAACTCACAACTGCCTGCTTGCAAAGCAGGTGCTTATGCCTCTGAGCTAAATCCCCAGCCCTGAGAGCTAAATCCCCAGCCCAGACCCAGGCTGATCTTGAACTTACAATGATCTTCCTGCCTCAGCCTCCTGAGTGCTGGGGTTACAGACCTGCACCAGAGTCTCGCCATGTAGTTCAGGCCAGCCTTGAACTCACGGTGATCCTCCTGCCTCAGCCTCCCGAGTGCTGGGATGACAGGCGTGCACTGCACAGGGATTTCTGTGGGCAGCCCTGCCCCAAAACGACTCAGCAGAGCTGGGCACCCACGGGAGGACAGTGAGACGGAGAGGAAGGGACACGCAGAGAGAGACAGGCAGTAGAGACAAAACACACACGGGACGGCTAAGTAAGAAGAGACAGGCACCATTAATGCCACAACAGCTGCACACGCACAGGGCCAACCGCCCCAGCCCCTGCGTCCCCGGGGCCTCCTGTGGAACCGGGCAGGGGTGGCTCCCCGGAGGGTCCTCCCTAGCTGAGCCTGCGGTACACAGACTTCAGCCCGGTCGTCGGCCAGGAGTCCACGGTGCTGACCGAGGAGCGGCGGCGGTGGCCGACCTTGCTGACCATCTTGAAGGACTTGAAGAGCTCATAGGCGTGGCGCAGCACGCTGGGCAGGCAGACGAAGTGCAGGACCATGCGCGAGCCCTGCAGCAGGAGGCCCAGGCGCTTCAGCACCCAGAAGCGCGGCCGCACCGTGCCGCTGGTGAGCAGCAGCAGGGAGAAGGTGGCCAGCTCGTAGACCACGAGCCACAGCGCGTAGAGCAGCAGCCCCTTGTAGCTGTCCTGGTGCACGCTGTAGAGGAGGCTGCAGCTGACCGCGATGGTGACCAGGGACAGGACGCTCAGCACCTTGCTCCGGTGGCGCAGGAGCCACCGCACCAGCTCGGACTTGGTGTCCAGGTAGAGGCTGTACTTGTCCTCGTAGCCGATGTGCGTCAGCTGGTGGACATCGAAGATGAGGAACTGGACGGTGTTGAGGACCGAGAAGAGGCCGATCATCAAGGTCACCGTCCTGGCCTCCATGGGGGGACCCGGCCTGCCCGAGGCGTCTCCTGCAGAAAGGGATTGCGTGAGGTCGAGGCTGAGGTGTAGCGTGGACGGGAAAAGGAGGGGCAGGGGACCCGGCATCCCCCCCGAGCTGGGTGTGGGGTCGTCCCAAGGTCGCGGCTCATCCTGTGGTCCCTGTTATCAGGCACAGGTTGGGAGCCCTGTGGAATACGATGGGGTACACTCTGGGCTCCCCATGAGGAACAGACTCCTTTGAACAAAGAAAACTATCGGCTGGGGGCGGTGGCATCCCAGCACTCAGGAGGCTGAGGCAGGAGGATCTTTGCAAGTTCAAGACCAGCCTGGGCTACAAAGTGAGCTCAAGGCCAGCCTGAGCTGCACAGTGAGACTCTGTCTCAAAAAGACAAAACAAATGTGGGCTGGGGATTTAGCTCAGCAGCAGAAATGCCTCGCAAGGACAAGGTTGTGAGTTTGGTTTCTGAACCCCTCCAAAAAAGATTCATTTGTAGGAAGTTGGATGCGTGTTGAGTTAATGTTATGTAATGTTAAATGGAATAATCAGACCCACAACCTTAAACATCACATGATTTCTCTTATATGAGGAACCCAAAGAATAAGCAGCAAAAGAAAAATAAAGGTAAACCGATGAGCTAGACAGGCGGACCAAAACCCATAAAACAGCCACGAAAACAGCACAAAAATTATACTTGATAAGGTAACAAGATAGAGGGGTGGGCGGCACACACCAGCCGCCAGGAAGGCCGAGGCAGGAATTCCAAATTGAAGCCCATTTGGGCCATTTAGTGGGGTTCTGTCTCAAAATAAAAAGGGCTGGGAAGGAAGCTTCATGGGAAAGCACTTATCTACCATGTACAAAGCCCTGGGCACCACAAATCCTGGGCACCACCACAGGAAAACCAAAACTTCCAAACCAATAACAAGACGGCCACTAAATCAATGCTGAAGATTACACAAGTTGAAAGACAGAGGTTTTCAGATTTAATTTTTTAAAAAATTGAGATTCAGCCATCTACTGTGTATAATAAGCACCATCTAAACATTACTGATTGACTCATTGATTGATGGTGGGTGACCCCTGAACCCCGGGCTTTGTTCATGCCAGACACAGGCTCGGCCAAGGAGCTGCACCTACTAAGCTCCAGTTTGTTTTAAGACAAGGTCTCATGGTGCCAGGGATGTAGCTCAGTGGCACAAGCACCTGTCCAGCAAGTGTGAGGTCATGAGTTTGATCCCTGTTACAAAAAAACAAAAACAAAACAAAACAAAAAAACTCGCTATGTGATCCAGGCTGGCCTCAAACTCTCATTGATCCTCCTGCCTCAGCCTCCTGAGTGCTGGGATGACAGGTATGTGCCACCAAGTCTGTTTGTCACACTTAAACTGAACACATGAGATCTGTACACTGTATCGTATGTATACCATATTTTGTGTTAAGCATATCAATACAATATATGACAATAAATCTAAAGTAATTCAAATCGTATACAATATATGACAATAAATCTAAAATAATTCATATCGTATGTGTACTCTGCTCATATTGAAACTAAACTAAAAACCAATAACAGAGAGATCTTTGGAAACCCCTAAATATTAAAGCTAAGCAATGTATATATGAATAACCTACAGATCAAGCTAAGCATGGTGGCGCATGTCTGTCATCCCGGCACTCAAGAGGCTGAGGCAGGAAGATGGCTTCGAGTTTGAGACCAGCCTGGGTTACACTGTGAGTTCAAGGCCAGCCTGGACTACACAGCAAGACCCTGTCTTAAAAACAAAAACCATGGATCAAAGGAGAAATCAAAAGGAAATTATTTTGAGCTGATTGAAAAGTGCAGTGTGACCATCAATCTTGGTGTGACACCATTCGAGCGACAGGAAGCAACTGTACTAGGAAACCAAGGGAGGCGCGGTGGCTCGGGCCTGGGACCTCACCCTCCGGGAGCCTGGGCAGCCAAGGGAGAGAAGCAGCTCAGCCCAGTGTGCAGCATCTGTGAACGCCAGCTAAGCTCGTGCTTAGGGGTGGGCGAAGTGGTGCCCCTCTCTCAAATAGGAATAACCGTTCCTGGGGGTTCTAGGCAGTGCAACAAACAAAAGCCAAGCAGGAAAGGAGTAAAACTTACCTTCTTTGCAGGTGTTGTGGCTGACGGTGCGGTAAATACGATGTTACACGAGCGGTATCTGACCTGTGAGATGAACCGAGCCGGGCTGCAGCCTGCAATGTTGATAGCAAGGGTAATTTATTTCTGCGTACCGAGAGCAACTGGGAGGTGAAATTTAAGAAATGACACCATTTACAATAGCTCCAGATACATAAAAATATAAAACAAATCTGACAAAAGAAAGGGCAAGGGCCAGGAATTTAGCTCAGCGGCATAAGCACCTGCTTTACAAGTGTGTGGTCGTGAGTTCGATCCCTGGTACCAGTAAAAAAGAAAAAGACAAAAAAAAAAAAAAAAGATGGAATAGAACTCTCCAGAAAGAGCTCCTTCTTGGCACAAGATCATCTCCACCCTCTTGGGCCCTCTCTCCCGCTGGCCACTGTCATTGTGGACACCATTGCATTGTGCATGCCTCCTCCATAGTGGCTGGGTCGGAGGACCTGGGTCTCCGCTGGCCTGAGGCACCCACCTCCCATCTTGTACCATGCATTACTAAATTGTCTCTGTTTCTTATCTCATCCTTTTTCCGTGCCCCTCACAGGTATTTGGGGATTTTGGCCAGGTCCCCAGTAGAGGTTGTTGGCCTATGGAGGGCCTATGTCCCTTCTGGGCACCTCCCTTCCGCCTCAGCTTCCCGGTTGTGGTGAGATGGGGCCACAGTCCTCCACCAGGACCTCCCACCATGCTCGCTGCTTCAGAGCCATGGACCGAACCCCTAACCAAGAATCACGTGAAACTTATCCACCTTTAAGTTGTGGGTGTCAGGTATTTTTGTCCCAGAGCACTGGACAGCTGACCAATACAATAACCAAAAGTATGAACCATAAAATTGACAAATTGGATTTCACTGTAATCAAAAACCTCCGCTCTTTACAGGAGTCTGGTACGAGGTCGCAAGGAAAGGCTGAGCTAGAAAAACGTTTAGAAATCACATATCTCAGGGATTGGACTCACGACCTTACGCTCACTAGGCAGGCACTTGTGCCACTGAGCTAAATCCCTGGCCCTATATATATCTTTTTTAATTGGCCAAAGATTTGAACTGACACCTAGTCAAAGAATAGAGGCATATGACAAAATGCCTGATGTCATTTGTCATCTGAAACTTGAATTAGACCCACAGTGAGATACCACCAACAGCAGGCCACGTCTCCTCAGGTACAGGAGCGCCCGAGGCTTGTGCGTGGATGATTCACGTGTTCTTATTTTTTTCTGTGCCAAGTGTCAAGCTCACAACCTCGCTCTTGCCAGGCAGGAGCTTGCACCACTGAGCTAAGCCCTGGCCCCAGAGCCACGAGTTCTTTCTCACGGTTACTAAGAGCTGGAAGCTGCTAGGTGCCCTCCCTCCCACAAGTGCATTCACCCCGAAACTGAGGCAGAGGAGAGCAGAGGCCGACAGGCACACCCCCGGGGGCCGCGGCTGTGTCCTGAGCCTGGATGATGCGACAGTCACACGCTGCCTTGCAGGTGACCGACTGCTTCACGGACAGGAAGTGAGCTCTCCCACTACACCACAGAAGCCCCAAGTCCAGGCCTTGGGTCTTACACTGTTTTGGTACCCCTCCCCCCCCAAAGTGGCTTGCACAGATATAAGTTTAATATCTACCTTTTAGAGAATTTTCTGGAGATAAGTGGCCCACCATGTAGTCCAGGCTGCCCCTCAACTCACTGCATAATCCAGGCTGGCCTCGAACTCACAACAATCCTCCTGTCTCGGCCCCCCTGTTGTGGCTTAGCATCACTGACACCGTCTTGAGCCCTGCATTTAACTAGTGCCCTGTATGTGACCCAGGAAAATGGAAAATCACTCAGGGTACAAGTCCCAGGAGAAAAGCAGAATGAACTGCATCCACAAAAGAAAAATTAACCTGCTCAACAGAAGAAGCGGGTGGACAGGTGTCAACCAAAATTAATGAAAGATTCTAGCTGAATTGTTTCCAACAGGATGTCTTTTTGTGGTTCTCTGTTTAAAAGCTTTGTAATTTTCCAGTTCAGGGCCACTCAGTGAGACTTAGAAATAGGTCCACCCGAGTGCTCAGCTAATTAAATTCCAAATTTATCATTTTGGCTGCTTGGATTCCTATACTGTTTACGAGGCCACTCCACTCCCCTGACTGACAGGATGACGGGGTGCACCACCAGGCCGGCCTGCATATCTACCAAGTGCTGTGGCATTTCTTGGCAAAGGAGGAGGAGAACTCAAGGTAAAAACTGAAGAAAACACCAGGCTTGGCGGTGCACGCCTGTCATCCCAGCACTGGGGAGGCTGAGGCAGGGGGATTGTTGCAAGTTCAAGATCAGCCTGGGCTACAGAGTGAGCTCAAGGTCAGCCTGAACTGCATAATGAGACCTCTCCCAAAAACAAAAAATAAACACACACATACAAAAGGAAAAAAACCCTCCAGTTTTCTATTTTTATTGTTCCACTGCTCTGGAATTTAGCACGGATTCAAGAGATTCAGGGAGGCAGCCAGAGCACAAACCCGCCCAAGGCCAAGCGTCCCCTCCCGGTGATGCCCGTCCGGGTAAGTGAAGAGCATGGTCGGGGGCATTTTGTTGGCATGCACTGTGCTTTTGCCCGAGAAGGTGGGACTGAGGCCGGAGGAGGTGGGGCCCAGGGAGGCTGGGGTCCGCGCTCCTCACGTGGCCTCCGGGATGGGGTGATCAGGTTTCCGGGGTGCACATGACAAGGCAGGGAAGGAGGCAGGGGCCTAGAACTTCCTGGTGGAGCCGCGCCTGCTGTAGGCCAGGATGTTGCCCTCCGGCTGGCTGGAGTAGCTCAGGCGCGCGTAGGCGGTGACGAAGGTCAGCCAGAAGCAGTGCAGGAGCAGGCGGCTCAGCAGGCCGAACCAGCGCATGACCCGCACGACCCTGCTGCTGAAGCGGCTGGTGAGGACCTGCACGGCCAGGCTGGCGCCCTCGTAGAGCGGGATCCAGAGCACGTAGAGCAGCGCGCCCAGGTAGACCTGTGCGTACACGGCGTACAGCAGGAAGCCGCTGACCGCCAGCGTGACCAGCGACAGGAGCACCATCAGCACCAGGCTCCAGCAGATGATGAAGAGGCTGACGGCGTCCTTGGCCACCCCGCCGGCCAGGCGGGCCTGGGTGCAGTTGATCTGGGCCAGGTGCTTCTGCTCGAAGATCAGGTACAGGTGTGTGGCCAGGATGGAGAAGGCGCCGGCCAGCACCGTGCCCCTGCGCACCGTCAGCCCGTACCAGCGGGTGTCTTTGACGCCCAGGCCTGTGGGGGAGACGGGCCACGTGAGCCGGCCGCCTCCTGCCCCGGCGGGGGACCCTGGGCCTTCTGTCCCCTACCCCCGGGCCACCTGGGAGCCCAGCGAGAAAGGTGGAGCCTGAAGTAACAGCGTTGGGCAGAAAAAAGGTCAGGTCCAGCTGAGGCTGGGGCTTAGGGCTGTGGTTCTCCATCCTGGGCGCCACTTTTTAAAATTAACTTTTTCGTGTGTGATAGGGTCTTGTTATGTAGTCCAGGCTGGCCTTGAACTCACTATGTAGCTCCAGGCTGGCCTCGGAATGGTAGATCCTCCTGCCTCAGCTTCCCGAGTGCTGGGATGACAGGCGAGCATCCCTGGCTTCCCAGTGAGTTTTCTGCCTAGCCAGGGTTATGAAAAGGTGGCTTCCTGATGCCCTTACTTCTTCCAGCAGAGCCCTGGACGTCCATTGCTGCCCTCGGTTGTGCGGTTCAGAAGCAAACGGGAGTCTCAGGAGAATCAGCGGGCAGCACAGGGGCAGTTGAGGGAAGCAGGTGGCGCCTCCTGGCTCCCGCGGTCACAGCTCAGTGACAGCTCAGGACCTGCGGGCCAGAGAGAAAGACAGACGTGCAGCCCGTGACGGTTTGAGCCTTAGCACAGAAAAGAACAAGATATAGTGAGCCAGGTGTTCAGCTGCGGGAGGAGGCGAAACATCTGAATACAAGTAGGATCCAGCACTCGGGAGGCCGAGGCAGGAGGATGGCTGCGAGCTCAAGGCCAGCCTGGGCTGCGCGGGGAGCTCCTGTCTCAACAATACTGGCAACAGCAATAGCAAAACAAAAACAGAAGGCAAGCAGACATGGGAACAAGGCTTCGTGAAAATCACTGGAAGCAACAACACACAGCAGAAATGGAACTGCGGTAAATGTTAGATAAGACAATGACATTATTTTTAACTTTTTTTGAATGTGGTATAATATATGTAACATGTATAACATACAGTTTTCCCACTATTTATTTATTTATTGTCTTTTTGAGGCAGGGTCTTGCTATGCAGTTCAGGCCAGCCTTGAACTCACTTTGTAGCCCAGGCTGACCTTAATCTTGCAGTGATCCTCCTGCCTCAGCCTCTTGAGTACTGGGATTACAGGTGCGTGTCACTGTAGCTAACCTCACCCTCACCCTAATCCTAACCCTAACCTTAGCCTCACTTTAGCCATTTCAAACATATTATTCAGTGTATTTATACTGTTACATAACCCATCTGTAGACTTGTTTGACTTGTAAAACAGACTCTAAATCCTTTAAACAAGAAATTCCCACTTCCTCCTCCCCAAGCTCCTGGAAATGAAACCATTAGCTCACTGGACTTCCCAGTCTTCTCTGCAAATCACAGAGAAGTGACATCACACAGGACAGCGTCTGTCCTTTCGTGACTGGCTGAGTTCACGTAACACAGTGTCCTCAAGGTTCATCCGTGTGGTGATACGTATCAGGCTTTTCTTTTCTTTCTTTCTTTCTCTCTTTCTTTTTCCTTCCTTCCTTTCTCTTTTTGGTTTTTTTTTTTTTTTTTTTTTTTTTTTTTTTTTTTTTTTTGTCTTTTTCCTTTTTATCGGTACCGGGGATCGAACTCACGACTCCCTGCTTGCAAGGGAGTGCTTATGCCGCTAAGCTAAATCCCCAGCCCCTCTTTTTGGTTTTTTGAGACAGGGTCTCACTGTAAATTTCAGGCTGGCCCAGAACTCACAGCAATCCTCCTGCCTCAGCCTCCCAAGTGCTGGAATCACAAGCTTGCGCCATCACACCCAGCAAGGATTTGCTTTTTATTACTATATTTAACTAAAAAGCTGCAGGTGTGTGTGAATATAATACATCATAAGAAACCTAGCAGGAGGGGCTGGAGATTTAGCTCAGTGGCATAAGCGCCTGCCTTGCAAGCAGGCAGTCGTGAGTTCGATCCCCAGTACCGATAAAAAGGAAAAAGACAAAAAAAAAAAAAAAGAAACCTCGCAGGAGCTGAGGCATAGCGCAGGGGTAGAGCACACAGGTACAGGCCCTGCTCTCTATTTCTAGCATCTAAAAACACAGATGAAATAACTGGACCACACAGCATGCTGTGTAGATGGCTCCTGTGGGCTTCTCTGAGGACCAGCTGCCCCGTGTGCCCCCAGAGCATGCAGGGGCAAGCTGTCCCTCCATTTCTTTCTTTGTTGTGTTTTTGAGACCGGGTCTCACTATTTAGTCCAGGCTGGCCTTAAACTATGTAACCCAGGTTTGCCTTGAACTCATGGGGATCCTCCTGCCTCAGCCTCCCAAGTGCTGTGATGGCAGGTCTGTACCACCACCATACCTGGCCGTGGCTTCTCTTTTTCTTAAATTTCTTAAACTTTTTTCTTTTTTGGTGGTGGTGGTGGTACAAAAATTTGAACCCAAGGCTTTTGTACTGAGCTACACAGCCTCTTTCTAAGTTTAAATTTAATGTTTTATTTTAAATGAAGGGAGATTGACTTGGCTCATGTTTTGTTTTTGATTTTGTACAGGAATCAAACTCAGCACCTTATGCCTGTCAGGCAGGCCCTGGCGCCGCTGAGCTATATCCTGGTGCTCATGTTATGTTTTGAGATAAATTGCTGAGTTCCCCATGCCGGGCTCAAACTTTCGACCCTCCTGCCTCAGCCTCCCGGAGTGCTGGGGTACCGCCACGCACTCCTGCCCCCATCACACGCAGTGCCACCGCTGTAGAAGTGAGTCAGTTAGGCTGATCTGCTAGGACAGCTGCAGAACCTGCGCGGTGACCCAAGACGCCCCATTCCCCAGGTTGCGCAGGGAAGCAAGAGGCACTCGGAGAAGGAAACCCTTGGGTGAGCTGCGTCCTCTGCCCTCCCCTGCCCACATCGAAACAGGCTCTCAGGACATCGTGCCAAGCCACATCCATACAAAGCCTTTTGGGGTCAGACCGTGCCCGGCAGCCGGGTGTCAGTAACGGGCCACACACGGCACCAGACTGTTTGCAAAGCGGCTTGCAAAGCTGTCACTGAACACAGCAGTGCTGTCACTGAACGCTGCTAGGATCACGCTGTAAGTAATGGGGAAACCGGATGTGGAGGAGCAGGGGGGAGAGGGAGGGGGAGGGTAGGGGGAGGAGGAGAGGGAGGGAGGGGAGGGGGAGGAGGGCAGTGAGAAAAATGAAGACACATTGCGCGTGCGCACCAGCGCTCCTCCTGCCTCGGCCTGCTGAGTGCTTGGGATGACAGGCGTGCACCACCACGCCCCATAGTTAATACATTTTAAACACTCAGAACCGTCCCTGCCACATGGTAAGCACGGTGCCATGTGACTGGTTTTGCTGGCTTTATCGTTACTTTCTGCCAAGGAGTAACGAGGACTTATCGTGCAAGTGAAGCTGGTACTTCTTAAGCTGAGTGCCAGCCGACTTCATGATGTTGCCTTCATGATACCTGCTTTCTCTTCTTTGCTGATAGTAATGTTTTGGTTTTTTATTTTGTTTTTTGTTGTTTGGTTTTTGGAGACAGAGTTTCACTCAGCCCAGGCTGCTCTTAGACATGCAGTGCTCTCCTGCCTCAGCCTCCTGGGTGCTAGGAGGACAGGTGTGCACCACCAGCCTGGCTCCTCTCAGGTTTTCAAATCGACCCTTTGTACTCCGCCCACAGAATCTGGAGCTCTGTCTGAGAGCAGGGAAACCAGCCCGAACCCCCTCCAGATGAGGTCATTCTGACAGTAAATGGCCCTGCTGGACGGGAAGTCCCAACGGGCTGCTGGGCTGACTTGCCTGATCCTCCCTGCAGATGGCGCATTCTCACCTCCTCACCTCCCCGCTCCTCCCTGGAGCCCATCCAGATCCTCACAGAGGCTTCAGAGCCCTAGGGTGGCTTCTGCAACCACAGCTGACATCAGCTTCCCACCCCAGCACCAGGAGTGGGCCAGCAAGCTCTCTTCCCTGTCTGTCTGCTCCAGGATGTATATCAGTGATTTATGTCCAGTTACCCTACTGTGGCCAGCCACCTTGACAAGAAAGAAAGTGGCTTAGAAAGCCTACCCTGGAGCTCTCGTCTCTTCTTCCCCTTTAACAGGCAAGGAGCAGCTGATCTCCACTTCACAGGAAGAGTGTTTCCACATACACATTGGCTAGAACAAAGTTGATACTTCCCAGCCTCCCTTGCCACTGAGTTTGGCCATGTGACGAATTTCCCAGCCTCCCTTGCAGCCAAGTTTGCTCAGGTGACCAATTTCCAAGACTGGATTGAAAGGAACAGAAATGAAGGCAGGCATTGGGTATTGAGGTCACATCCTCCTATGTGCCCATTCCAGTAATTGCAGTGTGGATGTGGGGGAATCATCTCTGTCCTACAGGACAATTTTGGACCATTCCATTCCTGGATGACAGAGCAGCAGAGGAAGGAAGGCTTCACAGGACAGAGGTTCCACACCAGCATAAGCTTCCACAGGCAGGAAACTTTTTTCTAAAAAACATGTCTTGCAATGTAGTTCAGGCTAGGTTTGAACTTACTATGTAGTCCAGGATGGCTTTAAATATATTGTGTGTGTTCAGGCTGGCCTTGAATTTGTGGCAATCTTCCTGCTTCAGCCTCCCAGTACTGGGATTACAGGTGTCTGCTGCCAATGCCAGGCTGTAGGAGACCATGGCACCACTGTTTTTACACACCCACTTCCACCACACATATTTCATTCCAGTCTTCTCTTTATGAGCGGGCTGAAGTCTTTCTGACCTCGAGCTTGCCTTGACAGCTCTTGGCTGACTTTGGCAGAAAGGGGCATCTCTCACAGGCTGTGGGTCGGTGTCAGCTGTCTATTGCCATGGCGTCACCACATAAACAATCAGGAGACCTAAACGCACAGCAGGGCTGTTGTTCCTGGCCAGTGGGCTCTGCCTTGATGGGGCGGCCTGAACTGAGCTGGGCTGATGTCAGCGGGGTCCCCTGAGTGGCAGGGGTTGTGCTGGGTGGCTCACCTCTAGGCCGAGCAGGCTGTTGGTGGATCCTGTTGGCCTCCACTGGGATAGTTCAGGCCAACTTGGCTGGGTCCCCTGCTCTCAGTGTCCAGCAGACCAGCCTGGACTTGTCTTCCCAGCAGAGTGAGCCCCGCCCCACAAGCGCCTCTCGCCTCTCGGGCCTCTGCTTGCGTAATGTTTACTAAAATCCCATTGACTTCGAGGGTGAACCTGGAGTCAGAAAGGAGAATCCGAGGAGGACAGCCCTGAGGGACGCGCCCAAGCCACTGGGAAGGGACTGGAGCCGGCAGCTGGCATTGAGGCTGCAGTACCGGGCTCTGCTTTCCAGGGTCTGGGGTGGGACATTGTCCTGACACAGGAGACCCAAACAGGAATGACGCTGAGTCAGGGGGCAGCAGAGACGCTGTGGCTTCTGGAATGCGGACTCCTCGCTCGCTCGCTCTCTCTGCTGACTGTCACTTCAGACATCGCTGCCGCCGCCACGGGCTCCCAGCCGTGGGCTCTGCTGTCCTGGCTCAGGCTTCTGGCTTCCGGCTGCGGGCAGGTGGTCTGGGTCCAGGTTTGGATTTGGGTTTTTATCTGCTCCAGGGGGCTCCTATCCTTCCAGCTCCCCAGGGCAATGAAAACACCCGAGGTCTCTTAGAGCACTGTCTTTCTTTTTTTTTTTTTTTGTCTTTTTTTCCTTTTTATCGGTACCGGGGATCGAACTCACGACTGCCTGCTTGCAAGGCAGGCACTTACGCCGCTGAGCTAAATCCCCAGCCCCTGAGCACTGTCGATTTTGCTCAAGTCCACTGGCCAGAGGAAGTCCCACAGGGACAGGGACCCTTGTGCCCGCACGCACTTGGAGGTCTCTTGACAACTGCGAACACCATGAGTCTCATTCACTTGGCCTCTGGACCCTGGCCCTGCTGTGCCATGAGTACCTACAGCAACCCCAGAACTGGCAAAATGGACAGGCACTGTGCAGAAGGGGAGGACGGGCGTGGGGATCACGTGGTCCATCCTGGGTCACGGTCAGGCGTGTGGAATTCGTTCACTGTGCAGGGGGTCTGCTGATGATCAGATGGTCTTTCGGGAGGCACAGCTAGCTTGGCATGCTCCTGCTACGCTGTCAACGAGTGTCCCGTCACCTGGAGGGGGACACAGCCTTGCCTGGCACTGGAGGTCCCTAGTGACAGCCCTGCCACAGCATCACCTGTCACCATGCCTGGCTTGGCACACTTTGGTTTTCCCACGTAGTTCAGGGTTGATTCCAGCTTGGATTCTCCTGCAAGCTGACTCTTCCAGAGACTTGAGTGGATATAATATTCCTTCCTCTTTTTCTTAGTGTTACTTGTTCTTTCTTTCTTTCTTTTCTTTCTTTCTTTCTTCCTTCCTTCCTTCCTTTCCTCCCTTCCTTTCTTCCTTTCCTTTCTTCCTTTCCTTTCCTCCCTTCCTTCCTTCCTTCCTTCTTTCTTTTCTTTCTTTTTTGGTACTGGGAATTGAACTTAGGACCTTGCATGTGCCAGGCAAGCACTTGTGCCCTGAGCTACATTCCCGGCTTGCTATTTGTTCTTTAATGTTGTTATGGTTTGATAACTAGTGGTCAACTTAATGCCAGCTGGATTACATCAGCATGCATTGAGAGAAGATGCTCCACCTGAGGAGGGTTGCCAGGATAAATAGGTGGAGAAGAAGAGCGGTTTGGAGAGGGATTGAGGCGTTAAGGAGATATTGTGGGTTCTCCTATGAGTTGCTGTCTGAGCTGTTGGTTCTCCTGGAGAAGCTTTGGTCTTCACATTGAGCATTGCTTCCTGGCTCCGGAGGGGAAGACATGTGCTGCCTGATTTCCAGGATGAACTCGTCACGCTGCTTCCTGGCACGTACCCGACTGTGCTTGTCGTCGGAGGAGCTCGGGGCCTCCGTGTCGCTGAGGACAGCTGTGGTTCCATTCAGGACAGCCCTGCTCTTTGTTGTGAGTGTGACTTCTCGGCTCCAGTGTAGAACCCTCAACCCACCAGCACAGCTCCTTCACCACGCTGACCCTTGGGTCTTCCCGGCACGAATCCGTAAAAGAGACTGGCGTGAGTCCTTGTGGGCCCTGGACTTCCAGTTGGACTCGTGGAGGCGTTGTCCTGAGCTCTGGGTTTTTATCTGGACTCATGTGGGACATTGCCGTGGGGTTTAGCCTCTTGACTTATATAATGTATGTCGTTGGTGTTGCGGATAGATTTCCTGCATTCTTCTGTATTAACTTCCGGTGACCATTATAAATATATTATAAACTCCATGTCCTGATCTGAATTGTTCTCTGTGTACAACCCCAGACTACAACAAATGTTTACTGTAGGCGTTGCCAAACTTGCCTACAGGCCAAATCTGGTGTGCTGTTTCTATATGGTTTTTATGCATTTATTTGTGGTTTTTTTTTGGGGGGGGGTAGGTACCAAGAATCAAACTCAGGACCTCTCACTTGCCAGGCAGGTGCTGTGCCACTGAGCTAAATTCCTGGCCCAGTTTTTATGCATTTAAATTGCTGAAAAATTGGAAAGATAACTCAAGACATGATAATTAAACAAAGTTCAAGTTTCAGTGCTGATAAGGTTTTCCTGGAGCACAGCCACGCTGGTTTACCTGTGTCTCATCACCAGCTGCTTCTGCTGCGCAGCCAGAGGGCTGAGCAGCAGTGGGAGAGATCAAGTGGCTTGCAAAGGTTGACATATCTCCAGTCCCGCCCTGCGTAGAAGTTTCACTTTGCAGGCTGATCTTGAGCTCACTTTGTAACCCAGGCTGGCCTCAAACTCCGAGCAATCCTCCTGCCTCAGCCTTCCAAGTGCTGGAATTACAGGCACGCACCATAAAATATGGTATGTTAAATCAGTAGTTCTTAGCCTTACTTTTTCTTTCTCTCTTTTTGTTTTGCAGTGTTGGGGATTGAACCGAGGGCCTCAAATACGAGGGCACACACTATCACCCAGCAGACCCTCAGCCATTTGTATTTTATTTTGGGTCACAGTCTCCTGAAGTTGCCCAGGTTGGGCTCAGAAAATTTGTGACTGTCCTGGCTCAGCTGAGTAGGAATGACAGGTGTGTACCACCACGGTCTTTTATTAAGAAATACATTTTACATTTCCATCGAGCATATTGTCTATCTAATGATAAATAATCTATCCGAAGCATACACACACATACATATAGATGTATACATAGAAACATACTTATGAGTGTATAAATGTGCAAAAACAGAACAAAAATTTTGCAAAACAATACCTACTCATATTAAATGCAACCCATTCTGACATATATTTATATATCTATATATCTGATATATACACACATATGGTTTGTTTTGTCTTCGGAGAGAGGGTCTTGTTTTGTAATTCAGGCTAGCCTTCAACTCACTATGTTGAAGCCTTGAACTTGCAGAGATCTTCCTGCCTCAGCTCCCTGAGTGCTGGGATTACAGGCACATACTGCCATGCATGGCTGTGGTGGATGAACTGATGGTCAGTTCATAACTGAATCAGCAGGGTGCTGGGTGTGGAGGGCCCACCTGAGGATTGTTACCAACAACATAGAAAAGGAGACCTGGAGGGGAAGAAGGGGGTGCTGTTGGTTCTCCTGTTGCTGTTGGTTCTGGAGAAGCTTGGTGAGTGTCTTTCCTGATATGAACTCGGCTGTTCTGGATGGAGGAGCTCGGGACCTGGTTGTAGCCCAGAATGGCTGCGGTTCACTTTGGGGGCGCTCTGGTCCTTACTTTGAGTGTTACTTCCTGGCTCCAATGCAGTTCCTCAGCCTGCTGGCCCAGATCCTTCACTCCACTGGCACAGACTTTCTAGCTTCCACTGCTGACCTTTGGGCCTTCCCAGGGCAGATCCGTGGAACAGACTTGCCTGAAACATTGTCGTGGGCTCTAGGTCTTCAGCTGGACTCATGCAGAACATTGCTATGGGATTCAGGTCCTCAGCTGGATTCTCTGGGGTCTATAGTATGTGATTTCCTGCACTTTTTGTGTTTAACACTTTCTATAAATTGTCTTTTTTGCAAACCCTAACTACAATGGCTATTCAGATATTTTATCTTCCTGTGTCATCTGTTTCATCAAAATCCCCAATTTTTACATTTATTTTCTCTAAATAAAAGTTGGTGCTATGGTCTGAATATTGGAACCCTCTCAAAGACTTTATGTGTTAGCTGGACATGATGGTACATGCCTGTAATTCCAGCACTCGGGAGGCTGAGGCAGGAGGATCACCATGATTTCCAGGCCAGCATGGGCTATAGAATGAGTTCATGGCTAACCTGAATTGTAAAGTGAGACCCTGTGCAAAAAAAGAAAAAGAAAAACAAACAAACAAAAAAACCTATGAAGCCTAAACACCAATGAGTTGGTGTTAGGAGCCCAAGGCTTGGAAGGGTGGGTTTGTATCCAGATAAAAGAGTTCCAGAGACTTCCACCCCAGGATGTGAGGGCACAGACTGTACCACCCACAAACCTAAGGATGTAACTTGGTGGCCCGGCAAGACTTCAAATCTGCCACTACCTTGGTCATGGAGTTTCCAGCCTGCAGAACCATGAGTTATAAATTTTTGCTGTTTGTAAGCTGTCCGATCTATGGTATTTTGTTATAGTCCACCCCAAGTGGACTAAGAGAATTGAGAAACCATATTTTTTTTTTTTGCAGTATGGGGAATTGAACTCACGACCTCACACTTGCCAGGCAGGCGCTTGTGCTGCTGAGTTAAATCCTTAGCCCCATAATTTTTATTTTATTATTTTTTCCCATTTTATTTCAAGGAGAAAAAGAAGAAAGAAAACTAAAAATTTCAAAACACATCAATGGAGGCAACAATGGTACATACATTGTGTACTGTCACCCCCAAATCATTCACCCAGAGCACAAGACATCTGTATTCAAGTGTCTGAACACCAGCACAAATCTTTCTCTTCAGGGAACTCAGTAGAGTAGCTATCTGAACTATTTTTATATACATTTACATACACATATACATATGTTTCAGCTTCTCACACTAATGCACATGTGTGTCTGATTTCACTTAGGAGTATGGTCTCCTCAAGCGGCATCCGCTTACCTATAAAAGTCCCCAGTTTATCCTTATGAAACCATAATTTTTTGATGTATGTTTGTGTGAGACAGGGCCTCACTGTGTACCCCAAGCTGGCCTCAAACTCCTGGCGCTCCTCCTGCCTCAGCCTCCTGAATACTGGCCTTCCAGGTGTGTGCCACCATGGCTGGAAATAAACCATAACTTGAAACAGAGAAAAGTGTGCATGGGAGGGTGCGTAAAGAAGGCTGACTGACTGAGCAGTGTCCAAAATAAGAATAACAGGCAGCCGGAGTTAAGGACTGCTCCTGTAACGGACGGTAGATCACAAACAGGATGAACACAGGAACCTTCATTAACAGAATGCAGTCAGAAGAGCCAGTTGTTGGAGCATATGTACAGCGCAGTGCTATTTAGAAAGATTCAACACATGCAACGCATGTTGTTTATACACACACACACACACACACACACACACACACACACACACACGAGTAGGAGGAGTCAGACATACACAGCTGGGGACTGAGGCTCCCCTGGAGCGAAGGAAGGAAATGGGGCCTGAGGGGATGCAGGGGATCTGTGTTTTGTTTTTTGTTTTGTTTTGTTTTGTTTTTGAATTTTTGAATTTTTTAGACAGGGTCTCACTATATTGCCCAGGCTGGAGTGCAGCGGCTATTCACAGGCGCGATCCCACTACTGATCAGCACAGGAGTTTTGATCTGCTCCGTTTCCGACCTGGGCCGGTTCACCCCTCCTTAGGCAACCTGGTTGTCCCCCTCTCCCGGGAGGTCACCATATTGATGCCGAACTTAGTGCGGACACCCGATCCGCATAGCGCACTGCAGCCCAGAACTCCTGGACTCAAGCGATCCTCCCACCTCAGCCTCCCGAGTAGCTGGGACTACAGGCACGCGCCACCATGCCCGGCAACCTAACTGTGTTTTAAGTGTTTGTTTCTTAACCTTGTTTTGTATTAGTGCCTATTTATTTTACAAAATACTGGGTTTCGGTATGGTATTTTGATACATGCATAGAATATATCTTTATCTTTTCTTACATGCTATTTGTACTTCAATAGTTACTGCAGGGATTAGCAAACTACCAGCTGTGAGCAAAATCTGAGCACCAGATATATATATATATATAACTTTTTTGGGGTGTGTGGGGTGTTGAGACAGGGTCTCGCCATGTAGTCCAGGCTGGCCTGGAACTCATTCTGTAGCCCAGGCCTGCCTTGAACTTACAGAGACCCTCCTGCCTCGGCCTCTGGAGTGGTGGGGTTACAGGTGTGTACCACCACGCCTGGCTTATATTTCATTAGTCACCAGAAAAAGGACATCTTTGCACAGAGTCTCCCGGCCTCTTTCGAGCTGTATTAGAACAAATCTGCACGAATGAAATAGCTGCTGTCTCCTCACCCTCTGTCTCTCTCTACCCCGTACCCCGCCTCTTGTCTTCCTGCCGGTTCCTCTGCCTCTCTAAGGCACCCATCTCTGTTGTGTGCTCCAGAAGCTCCGGTCCTTGCACCGGGCTCCACCTCCCCGTGCTTCCCGTCCACGGCTCCCTCTGATTTCCTGCCCTGCCTGCCCTCCGCCTCGGTCCTCTTCTGTCCACCCCCTGCTTTGCTGAGGTGAAAGTCCACCAGTGGTCTCACTCCAAGTCCGGAGTCTTTTCTCTTTACCTCTGCATTGTTTCCCCCTTGTTTTTATCTCCCTCTTGGAGATCCTGCTCTGAGATGACCTCCTTTATTCTTCAGGTCTTCCTTTCTCTATTCCGTTCTAACTCGGGGTTTCTCTTTCAAGATCTTTCTCTAAGTGCTGGGGTCCGCTGACGCCTTTCGAGCGCCCACCTCATTCCCTTTCTGCCGCTTTGCCCTATTAAGTTGTTTTACTCCTCTGAATGAAGGAGAAAAACCCGCAGACAAGCCACATGGAGAGCCTATTGAGATTCCGGAATAATCAAACCTTTGAGATGACTTCCAGGATCGCAGATCATAACGTGGGAGCATCAAGCGAGGTCGCCGCTGGGGTCACCTTTTTTGCTTACTTAAAAATGCAGAATTTTAGGCACCGCCCCCCTGCTGACTCAGGCTGGAGGCTTTGAAGCCTGCGGAAAAGGAGCACTGCCCAGCGGATGGGGAAGCGCCTGCGGGAGGACCGTCCCCAAGGCCGCGGAGGCTCCCTGCAGAGCCTCAAAGCTCCTATTTCAGCTGGGGTGGTCAGTTTGGGGCAAGTGCTTAGGCCTCTGAGAGCCAACTGGGTCTGCCCGCCCTCTCTCTGGGCACAGGCGCGGCCTGGTGAAGCTGGAAGGTCTCTTTGCCCCGCGTGGTGGCGCACGCCCGCAGTCCCGGTGACACAGGGGAAAATGTAACTCCCACCCTGCTAGGATCAGGTAGGTACGCCCGAGGTCGTGGCCCCCAAAATCGAAGACTGAATTTTTAAAGAGCATCAAAAGTTAAGAGTTGGGAAAGATTGATTGAGATAAATCACTTGAGAGCCAGGAAGGGACCTGAGAGTGGATTGCCACTGAGGTCACTACTGGAAAAATGTCTTTATAGAGTCAAATCACGAGGTGAGTACAACGTGGGTCAACCAATCAGATTACAAGCAGAGCCGCCCAGATAATGTTGATCCAATAGGGAAGCGGGTCATGTGGCAAGGGTACAGGGAAAGAACAAAGGAATTTTGGGGAAGGGATGGTCACCCACCTGGGTAACTGATACCTATCTGGCCTTTACTGGGCCAGGTGATGCCAATTAGAATATAAACTAAAATTATTGCTTCTCTCTGGGCAGCCTTTATCTTGAGACCTGGCCTTGGACAGCTGTGCCTCCAGCAACAGCTGTGATGTCTTCTCACTGGCTTCCTCAAGGGCCCAGCCCTATCTGACTGCCTGTAATATTTCTACCTAATTTAGCTGTCCAGCACTCTGGGAGGCTGAAGCAGGAGGACTGCAAGTTCGAATCCAGTTCCTGGGTAATTTAGTGAGACCCTGCCTTAAAATAAATTTATGAATGGATGTGTAAAAAGGGCTAGGGATATAGCTCAGAGCAGAAGTCTGTGGTTCACTCCCCAGTACTGCAAACAAACAAAATTCTTACTTTTGGGCAGGGCGTGGTGGCATATACCTGTAACCCCAGAATTCAGGAGGTGGAGGCAAGAGAATTGCTGTGAGTTTGAGACCAGCCTGGGCTACACAGTGAGTTCAAGGCCAGCCTGAACTATACTGTGAGACCTTGTCCCCCCGCCAAATTTAAAAATATGGAAAAAAAACCCATGAGAATATAACTGGGCCTCAGTTCATGAACTATAACCATGGAAAGAACTAAGTTCGTGAACTGAGGCACCACTGTAAGAGGGCTAGTCTGTGTTATACTAAGATGCTAAAAATTAAAATAATTGATTAAAAGATAATTAACAAAAATAGTTACTTAAAAAGATAGTTATTAGTAATATAGTCATTCTGTACTGAGCTCATTACCCTAGTAACCAAGCACCAACCACATAGTTATAAATTAACTGACCACATCGTTCTGCTGTTCTGTAATGCGTCATCCCCCCCCACCTTAGTGACCTGTGTGCTATGTCAACTTTTGTTACCCTTGTAAGAGACAAATGATGCTGTGTCAACCATTGTTCCCTTTATGAGAGACAAATGTTCCTGGAATTGGCAGACCAAGGGCTATGAACTGGCTAACCACCCACTGTGAAATGCGTCTGACCTCAAGCAAAGGGGAACAAAGGCCCACCTTATTTCTATTTCTCATCACTATGTACTTAATGATCAATGATCTAATCATAAATGAACTATAAAAATCAGTCAAAACTCTAACTCAGTTGCACAGCTTTGCAAATTCCATCTGCACTGTGTCGCTGGGCCAGCTAAAATAAAAGCACTTCTTTTAAAAGGATGTCTTGCCCCGTTTGTCATCTTGGGGTCTTGCCCCGTTTTTCATCATGGGGCCTTGTTTTTTGAGTGGAATACAACAGTCTGGGCAAGGCAATGCTAAGTATGCCTCCTGGCATCTCATAGGTGATTGTTTTTATGCTTCTTTTTTGAGATAGGGTCTTGCTTTGTAGCCTAAACTGGCCTTGAACTCATCACCATCCTCCTGCCTCAGCCTCCTGAGTGCTGGGATGATAGGTGTGCTCCCTCACACCCGACTTCAGGAGTAGTTCTAAAGCTGCGTGCCGCAAGTGGAAAGTGACAAGTGTCTGCCGCGTAGCCATACATCAGACAGCTCACACAGAGGAAGACAATCCAGGTGACAGCTACAGGACAGCAAAGTCAGCTGCCTACTGCTACTGAAGGCTGGGATCTATATGTCAAAGCAAATGGTTCCTTTAAGACCCTAGCTTTTCCAAAGCTCTGAGAGCCTGGTCATCCAGAATAAAGACAAAAATATCAGCTTCAGAGCAATTTCAGGACACCTCTCTGAAGGCTCAGTGGGCAGGGCTGGCCACTGTGTCCCACACAAAAGAGGAATCAGGCAGGGACAGTGATGAACTGGGGGGACTTTCATTTTGTTCAATGATGTAAAGAAGGTAAGGTAAAAGTCTGTGGGACCATGAGAGACTCAGAGAGCAAAACAGCCCCTTTTCTACAGCCCTGCAATAGTGAAATTAGGGACAAAAGAAGCCTGAAAATGGGGGCAATGTCTATGTAGAAAGGTGGCAAATTGGAGGGCACATAAAAGAATCCTCAAACAGGACAACGCCAAATATTCTCTAATCCTCAGAAAAAGCAGCAACCCAGAAAGGGGCGGGGACAACCGGCCTCCTACCTTTTCTGTCCTTTGCTGGGACAGAAACAAGCTGGACTGCAGAGTCCACCCATCTCTGCCAGATCATCACAGAACACAGCCTCGGAGACCACAAATCACCAACAAGACAGTGAAAGATGCAAAATGCTAATATTAGAGCTCATTCTGGTCAAAATTAGTTTTAAAGTAAATTCAAAGGTGAAAGATTTATAATAGACGCGTAAGGGAAATTAAGGATATAAGGGAGAGGCACGTCTTTCATCTTCGTGATTTATGCCATAGATGTATTCAATGTCCTCAAAAAAAAGTTTTTTAAAAAACATAACAGGACATGGTCATACATGGTTGTAATCCCGGCACCCCGGGAGGCTGGTAGGAGGATTGCCACAAGGTTGAGGCCAGCCCGAACTACACAGAGACGCTGTCTCAAAAACAAACCAAGAAATGATACTTGATCTGAATTGGTTGGAAAAAAGAAGCACCTTTTTTTTTTTTTGGCAGGATTTCACTATATGGTTCAAACTGGTCTTGAACTCACTTTGTGGCCTAGGCTGACCTGGAACTCACAGCAATCCTCTTGCATCCCAAGTGCTGGGATTACAGGCATGCGCCACCGTGCCCAGCTATAAGCATATTTTTTAAACAGTTTTTCAGCATCCAGGTTCTTACCGTCAGAAAGTAGGCAAAAACAGGGGTTTCACTGCGTGAATTTCACTCACAACACAAATCCTTTCTTTCACCACATCGCAGCCCACGGAGAGGGACAATTCGAAGCACCAACGGTTTAGATGTTGAACAGTTCCCAACCTTGGACTTTAGGAGCCCTCTTCTTTCTCAGAAAAAATTCAAAATTGGGATCTCACGGAAAGGAGGATGGGAAGGGTACTAACCACGGTGTCTTTTTAACAGCGAGATGTTAGAAATGGGCCACGGTCATCATTAGAGTCCTTCCTTTTAGTCAAGGATGTATACGTATATACTCTCCCTTCAAAAAATATTACAGTCAGAACCTTCAGCTGCCTCGGAGGACACAGCTTCTCTTTTTCCTTCCCCTAAGTTCCCTTCTTTACCTGTTTTTCCCCTTTCTGCAGAGGAACTTTCAGCCCCGCCTCCAGCCTATCCAAGCTCCGCCTTCCAGGTCCACCTGTGCGCCCAACCCCTGACGTTGCCTTTGGCTTCAGCGGCCTGCAGGATTCCGGCTTCTGATTGGCTCTCCCGTCCCGGCCCGACGAACCCACCAATGGCAGCGGCGCTGGGTAGGGGGTTGCCCACATCCAAGATGGCACCCCCAGGAGCTGGGAGCGGGTGACTCGCGGCGGGGAAGCGGCCTGGGTTGGCCCTCAGGTTGTGGGGTTGTGGGGTTGTGGGGGCCTCTGGCCGGGCACCCCGCACTGGCCCGACTACCAGGCCTTCCCCGGGCCAGAGCCATGGCCGCCGAGAACAGCAAGCAGTTTTGGAAGAGGAGCGCCAAGCTGCCGGGGAGGTGAGCTCAGGACGCCGAGAGGGAGAGGGGTTTGGACCGAACCTTCGCGGGTCCTGATCCCTAAATTCCGTGGGCCTGGGGCGCCGCCGAGGCTGGAAGACTGCTTTGGGAGGACCCGGGCTGCGGAAGTTGGGCTGCCTGGCGGCTGCAGGACAGCTGTCAAGCAGAGAGCAGGAGGACGACTGGGTGTGGGGTGCAGACCGGGTCGGGGAGCGGAGGTCCCGGGGGGTGACCTCGGCGGGGAGGTGGCCGAAGACCCGGCGGCCGGGGTCATGGGTCCAGCGAAGAGCCTGTGCCGGTCCTGGCCTCAGAGGCCCGTCCCAGACGTGCTCCCTACTTTTTAGACAGTTCTCGTTCACGGGGGTCCTCATCCAGAATAGGTGGTTGCCCCGCGCCCGGGGTCAGCAAGCAGGAATCTGCCTGGACTGCCGAGGGGCATGGTGGCAGCTCTAGGGCTGCCTTCAGGGATGCGAGAAGGGAAAAGTGAGAGCGGTTCTTTAGCCTGATCTTACTTTATCTCGAGTTGGCCTCCCCCATCAGGAATTCTTGCAGGATAGCTACAGAATCTTTGGACATTTTCTGTGGATTTGGCCACCCAAAAATCAGCTCTTCCTCTCCTGCTGTTTTTGTGCAAATACACCGAATTCTTGCCTTCTTTGACTTTTCTTGCCTTCTTAGTGTGCTCTGACACTGTTAGCAAGGTCCAGCCGTGCTGTTGTTACAGTTACAGTTTGCTTTGGGCAGAGGCTTGAGAAGTAAAAGCAGTGTGTTTCAGTTAGGAATTTAGATTTCTGCTGGCCACAAACTACTTAGTGATAGAATTCATGTTTGATTTTGTCCATGCATGTTACTTTCCTTATTGGTTTAGGTTTTTTCCTTCTGGGACAGTCTTCTGTCCTTGTGCTTTATTCGTTTATTTCTTTTGTGAGAGAGAAACAGTACAGGGGATGTCACCTATGCTTTATCTGAGATTCTGTAAGACATGGAGGATAGGGTGGGAATCAGCTTTTAGTAAAACATTAAAATAAAAGAGGTAGCCACCAGGCACACACCTGTAATTCCAGCACTTGGGAAGCTGAGGCAGGAAGATCATCACAAATTCAAAGCCAGCCTAGGCTAATGATAAGTGAATTCCAGGCTAGCCTGAGCTGCATAATGAGAACCTGTCACTAAGAACCTAAAATAAAATAAAAGGGGAGCACAAGATAGCTCAGATGAAAGTGATGTGGAATTATAGTGTTAATTCAAGTGCTAAAGATGTTTTGTGTTTTCAGATAAGCACCCCACACCCCACTTCCTGCCATCTGATTCATTTTCCTTCCTGGTCTAGTGAGCCCTCCAGTTGGACTAACTGTTCTCTCTCTCTGGGGTTTTCCATGGAGAGATTGTGAAGTTTTGACATCCTAAGATCGTAATCAGAATCAATGAGGAAACCACTGTGTCAGGAAGCCCTATAGGAGATGTAGGCCTGGCCTGGCCGTCTCTTCCTGCCTGCCTGCCTGCTTTCCCCTATCTCTCTCTCTCTCCCTCTTTTTCTTTCTGTATTCATACAGGGTTTCGCAGTGTAGTCCAACCTGGCCTTGAACTCACATTGATCCTCCTGCCCAGCCTTTGGAGTGCTGGGATCACGGGTGTGCGGCACGGTACCAGGCTTCATCGGTGCCTTCCGACTGCTGGTTGTATTTTCTGTCTTTGGTTTTCTACATTTCTTCTGTTGGACTAAAGGAACAGCAGAAGAAACACAGCACTGCTTTTATGCCATAGGAAGAAGGATCTTTTTAACTTTTTTTAAGTCCTTGGTTTTCTTTTTCATTTTGAATACTATAGGGGGATACAAGAGAGAACTTTTGAGTTTGGGAAGACTTGGTTACTGTTGGGGCTCTCTTACCTTCATGACTGAGCACGAATAATTGCCTTCATCTGGCTAGGCCCAGTCTTACGTATAAAATGAGGAGTTAGACTGCTTTCTTCAGAGTTATTGTCAGGACAGAGCGAAACACCTCTTGATAAAGAATCTAGCAAGGTGTTTATTTAGCACATTATGGCTGCTCAATAAATAGTAATTATAAAGATTACTGTTATTATTGGAGCAAGTAAACATTTGAAAGACTTTCTCAGACCCTTAGCCCAGTACTGGTTATCTCATTCATGCTTATGGGATTAGAATACTGCCACAATTCATAATAGTTTTTATTACCTTGCTTGTTGAAAAGAGATATTGTTCAGCTGTGTGCTTTAGCAGCAAAACCCTAGGAGCTCCTGGTTATGGCAGAAAACTGAGGTCCTTTTAGATGGGAAGGTACTCTAGTTTAAAGAAAACATTACCTGGACGTGGTAGTGCTTGCCTGTAATCCCTGCACTTGGGAGGCTGAAGCAGGAGGATTGTTGTGAGGGTGAGGCCAGCCCAGACTATACAGTGAATTCAAGGCCAGTTTGAACTACATAGACTTTGTCTCTTTAAAAAAAAAAAAAAAAAAAAAGATAAAATAAATGTTACCTTTCCTTAACAATAGAACTTGTGTACCTGGACTTAGTCTTGGAGAAGAAAAACTTTCTTGGGTAGCGAAATGACAACATGCCCCTGTTCTAGGTTCAGGGCAACCTAAAAGTGAAACTTGCTTTCTTTGCAAAGTGAAAAGTGAAAAATCAAAAGTGAAGGCAGGCTGCTTTCAGTTTCTTTGGTCATGATCCAGCAACCATGGTGATGACAAATAAGAATTCTGTTAAATACATAGCCAAGTATAGAATGAATCATTCTTTTTAGAAATAATGTAAACTGGACATACTCCTGTAATCCCAGCATTCTGGAGGCTGAGGCGGGAGGATCACTGCAAGTTTGAGGCCAGCCTGAGCTTCATAGTGAGTTCAAAGCCAGCCTGAACTGCAGAGTGAGATCTTGTTTCAAAAAAACAAAACAAAAAGAAGGGCTGGGGATGCAGCTCAGTGGAAGGACCCTGCGATCAACCCCCAGTAGCACTACCAAAAATAAAAAAATGTACGTGTAATTCACATACTATATACCTCACCTCTTTAAAGTGTATAATTCAGTGGCCCTTAGTGTATTTACCTCAAGTATGGATGGTTTTGTTCACACATCACCACCAGTGTCAGACCTTTTTTTTTTTTTAACCATGGAAAACTGTCCTGTATGCTCCAAGACAGCTGCTTCCCTTCACCTCCTTCTCCAGAGCCTGGCAACTGTTAATCTGCTTTCTGTTCCTGCGGATTTGCCTACGGTGCACATTTCATATTAATGGAGGGGTGCGAGGCCTTTTTGTACCTGGCTTCTTTTACTGACAACATTTCTCCGCTCAACCCCGCTGCAGCGTGGGTCAATACTTTTTTCCGTCCACAGCGCACAGCGCACAGCGGAGAGTTCATTATGTAGAAACCGCAGTTTGTTTACCAGTCATCAGCTGATGGACATTTGGGTCCTTTCCACTTTTTGGCTACTATGAATAATACTCCTGTGAATGTTCATAGGATTTTTTTTAATTTTAAAGAGAATAAAAACCAAACAATAAAATAAAGCAAAACAAAGAGTGATCTTGAATTTCAAAACCAGACAGTAGGAAATCAACAATAGTTACTGTACGTTGCTCCTTGTTCTCCGCTAAATACTTGCTCTGACTACCAGAGATGGGCACAAGTTATCAAACTATGAGCACGAAGTTGTCTCTTTCCTTCACTTGCTATCATTTCAGAAATTTCAGGTGTGTGACTTCTAATTTCTTTTGTGTCTGTGTCTCTTGGACTTGTTCTGAGTGGGCTGGGGGTCTGAGATTGTACCCCGCTCCTTCGTCTTGACATCTTCCTGTGTTCCTCCCCAGCAGCTGGTTGCTGAGTCCTGGGTGCTTCCTACAATGGCTGCCTGGCCCGTGGTACAGGGGATTGGGCCCCTGAGTTCCTCCAATCTGAGGTTCCCCAGGTGACAGAGGTGTGGGGTGGCTCACTGATGCTCCCCTGATGGGGAGAGGCCTCCTGTCCTCTGAAGGTGGTGGTGGCTTATGGGGTGGGGTGAGGCCCATGGGATGGTTTTTTTGTGGAGATGTTTTCTGTTCTTTTGAGTATATGTGAGTGCCTGTGCTAATCTGCTGGAAAGAAACATCTTCTGAAGTTCTAATTATTCCTAAGAGCCTCTATAGCTGGGCATTTTGGTGCACACCCGGAATGCCAATACTCGAGAGGCTGAGGCAGGAGGATCACTATTAGTTTGAGGCCAGCTTGGGATACTTAGTAAAGGTCAAGGCCAGCCTCCAAAATAAACCAGACCCAGTCTCAAAAAAAAACCCGAAACAAACAAAAAGCCGCTTGTCCCCACATACTTCATACATTGAAGTTTGGGTCAGCGTGTGCCATCGCAGATAAGAATGCAGGTGCTGGAACCCCCTGCTGCCTAGTTCTAGATCAGCTCTGCCAGGTTCCAGCTGCATGACTTTGGGGGCGCTAATTAACCTCTCAGTGCTGCAGCCTCTGTCTGTAAGGGGGGGGGGGCATACACAAGCTCCTGCCTGGCAAACACAAGGTCCTGAGCTTGATTTCCAATACAAAAAAACCCCCAAAAAACAGGGCCATCCAGCCACCCCACTCCCACCCCTTCCGACCATTCCAGAGGGTAAATGGAGGCAGTAGCTTTGGTTGGTGTGGCTGGCGGCCCCAGTGGGTGCCAGGCCCAGGGTGAGTCCTGAGCTGAGGGTTCATGGAGACACGGGGAGAGGGTGTGTCTGTCAGCGGCTCTGCAGTGCCGTGGGATATGATTTTTAAAAGCGATCTCAACCCTCAGTGGGTCACCCGCGGGCTCACTGAGCGCACATCGCCGGCACCCCTTTACCAGCTTCCCAGCCCGCGGGTGTGGGCCAGGCAGCGGCTCTGCAGGGCTCAGGCAGTGCCCCCTGGGCAGCCCGGAGAGGAGCCTGCGGCAGGTGAAGGATCCTGACCGGACAACACCTCGATGGCTTGCTTCCCCAGCCCCAGCTCTCTTGCTGTCTGCACCTGTGCCC